CCCTGCTCCCCACAGGCAGCAGCCACTGGGCTTTGTGCGAACGCTGGGGAGGAATTACACAGATATCATAATAAAAGACGGCAGGACTGCTCACAAAGTGGATTTTTTTTTTTCCCCTACGTTTAATTTCCCAGCAGTGAGGTTTTTTTAATTTTTTTTTCCTCTTAAGCCAATTGAGACTCAGGCAACAGAGCACAGCATCACTGCAGTCTGGCAGTACTTAATTTTTATTACTGCTGAAAAGATCTTGGACTGCAGTACCAAAGAAACATTTCAAATTGTCTAGTCTTGCCTGTTACACATCTTACTCAGCTTTTCTAGATCCTTTACTGCACAAGAAAAATAGGATCCCCCTGTTCTGCAAATCAGTGCATTTGTCACAATATTTCAAACAAATAACATCTATCAAGTGAGCATTGCTTCTGTTTTCCACTTTAATAGTCTTCTAAAGAAATCTTATTAAAGGTATACAGCATACTTTAAGATAGGCCAGATGTAAAGACTACTTCCTGACCCTTCGAAAAGACACAGCTCGAAATCACCAAGCCCACCGTGTACCACCCTACGAAAGCAAGGCTGCGGCCAGGCCAAGGGCCCTTTCACCTACCGATCCTGCAACGTTCTGCTGAAATCACAGAGCCCCCAGCAAAGCACTGCTCACCCGAGGCCACCAAAGAGGGTAACAGGAATCTTGGTCAAGTTGTGAACACAAATAACAAGCCTGATGTGCTCTCAAAATACCCAGGTACGACAGCCTCGCAGGTGCTTACCCCTCCTTTCTGCTGCAGCAGGAAAACAGAAAGCCCTTTACAAACAGCCAGATCAAAAATAAGTGCATTAAGCTTTCATTAAGGAGAAGAGGACAAACGTCTCTGAACTACAAACGCTATCAGTTACGCCTGGATGTCAAGAGCGGGCATGCTTTTAGACTAAACTGGCTTCGGCTGCAATTCCATCTCAAACCAAACAAAGTTTTGGGAAAAAATGCCTGGAGTCAGCAAGACACAGCAAGCGTCGAAATGAGAGATGGACATACTGCAAACCACACGTGGAAGGAATTGCAAAAGGAGCTAAAAAAGATTTTTAGAGTATTGGTCCTGAGCAGCATCCATGGAGAGGAGGAAAAGCACAACCCAGGACTGCTTCCCTTCCAGCAGCAAGCCCCTCGTTAGCGTAACGACCAGCTCCCCTCCCCACCCAGCCCCGCTGCCCTACCTGCGGGCACGCAGCTCGGCATCCAGATGCACTCTGCAGCCACCGAAGCGGCACCTCGTGCCAACCACTGGCCGGCAGCTCCCCGGATTTTGGCTAAGGCCAAGAAAGATCACACAAGCAAAAATAAATATATATATTTAATGCAGCTATATATATTGTATATATGCATATTTAATGTGTATATATTGTATATATGCATATTTAATGCATATGTGTGTATACATATATTGAAGTCACTGCAGCCTCCGGGCAGAACAGGCTTTTCCT